ATAACTAGCGTTTCCTCCACTTACAATATGTTTGATTGTAAAGATAACTAGCGTTTCCTCCATTACAATATGTTTGATTGTAAAGATAACTAGCGTTTCCTCCACTTACAATATGTTTGATTGTAAAGATAACTAGCGTTTCCTCCATTACAATATGTTTGATTGTAAAGATAACAAGCGTTTCCTCCACCTACAATATGTTTACAATGTTTTATTTTGCCCAGATTTCTAGGAGCTCTCACGTATTCGGTGCTGCGCGATTCTAAATTATAGAGTATGGTGCATTTTTATCCACTTGGCTAATTTGATGTTTTATGTTGTTACTTTAAAAACGAGTCCTGAAAAAGAAGCAAACATCGTTCAGAAAATAAAATAATATTATTTATTTTTACCCAGCTTTCAACTGAATGTTGGGTTTCTCTGTTTTTTGTTTTACTCTTATCGAAAATTTCTTATGTGATGTGATGAATTTAATTTATACCGGTGTTGTTTTTAGGTTATGCATCGCGTGTGATTTTTTAAAGAAATCATTATATAAGCTGTTTTTTTAACGTGGAAGTGGATGTAACAGAACTGTTTGTGTAACTATGCCATATACATTACACCTAAAAATGAAACGTTCTGATTTTCAGGAGGGAAGTTTAATTCGCCGAATGAATCTGAAACGAAAGACCAATGGACTGTTGTTACCTCTCCTCAACAGATATTTCCTGGTAGGTTCACGAAGCAATATTAGTGCAAATAGTTTCAACTTTGAAACATGTAGTACAGATTCATCCTCTTACGATATAAATATAATGTTATAATTCTCTCAACAGAGGCCGCTAGTGCAGAATAGACATCAGATTTCTTTGTGGCATCGTTTATGTCACTAAGGCAAGTGTTTAACTTCTCACCCTCCTCTTGCTTTTGTTTGATAATTAATTGTGATAGTCGAATATTGAAATTACTTGCAAAATGTTTTTTTCGTATAATGCATAAAAATTGAAACATTTTTCAAGTACCATATTATCTTGTTAAATCAAAGAATATGTGTCGTACAAAGGATGGAATCTATTGACCCCTTTTTATTGAAAATCAGGATCGTAATTGTATGATAACTGTCAGAACAGAAATAGCAATTAAAGACATTTATATTAACGATATATTTTAAACATTGGTAAACACTTTAAGATTATCATCCAACAGTTTTAAGTAGTTCGCTGTTGGCGAGAGTACTTTATTACATAATTGAAGGGTTAGTAAATATTTTTTGTATGTGTCTAGAATTCCACCCTACCTTATTTATATATATAAATGAGAAATAAAAGTTTTACAAGTAGTGTAATTAACGCCAAAGTAACATTTTCTTAACGATGGGTTAATATTAGGACACTTAAATTATTTTACGGCTGGTAAGTAAAATCCTATAAGGCGATGATGCTCTTAATTAATAGGAGTTGCCTCACTTGGTTTGTTTATTATGAATTTTGCGCAAAGCTACACGAAGGCTATCAGCTCTAGCCGTCCCTAATTTAGCAGTGTAAGACTAGAGGGAAGGCAGCTAGTCATCACCACCCACTCTTGGGCTACTCTTTTACCAACGAATAGTGGTGGTTAGGGCGTTCGACTCGCAATCTGAAGGTCGCGGGTTCGAATCCCAGTCCCACCAAACATGCTCGCCCTTTCAGCCGTCAATCTCACTATTCGTTGCTAAAAGAGTAGCTCAAGAGTTGGTGGTGGGTGGTGATGACTAGCTGCCTTCCCTCTAATCTTACACTGCTAAATTAGGAACGGCTAGCGCAGATAGCCCTTGTATAGCTTTGCGCGAAATTTAAAAACAAAACAACAAACAAGTGGAAACAAATAACTATTAAGTCAACAAAAAGAAACACACAAATAGTTAACTCACATATGGAAATCATAAACACTTCAGAACCAGAAGAAGAACATGCAGAATCATCAAAAATAGACGAACACAAAGAAGAATACAACCAAACACTAACTCAAACACAACACAAGGAAGCACATGAAAACGTACATGAACAACTAGGGAAACAAAACGAAGCAAACGAAGATAAGTCTAAACCATCACAAGAAACACCACAAACACATGAAGATTCAAATGATTTCATCATGGTAACACCGAAGAAAATAAGAAAACTGACAACACGATCACTAATACAAATGTAACATACAAAAATACACCACAGCATTCAATAATAATTCAATGAATTCCAGCACAGTATAGGGAACCACAACTTGCAGCTGAAATCAAGAGATGCAAGCCGGAAGTACACATAACAACAATAAAACAATCAAAGGGCGGCATCCTAGTTAAACGGTCAGAGGCCGCTGACCTTAACCGCCTATTGAAGGAATGGTCCCAAGACGCATTTAAACTCCGAAACATCTCAGTACACATACCAAGAAACAAACCTAACCCCAAATTATTTGCTATAAAAGATATATACACCAGCATTACAAACGAAGACATAGAAACTGATCTCAGATATTAAAACATACTATTCACGAAAGTCGAACGGATTTTCTCCAACAGAACACAGAGACTCGCAAACCTAATCAAAGTACACATACAAGAAACACAAGATATACAGAGTATAATATCTAATGGTATTATTCTCTGGTATCGGAGATACATGGTAGAACCCACTAAAATACCAGCGGTAGTAATAACCCAGTGTTATAAATCCCAACGTTATGGACATGTGGCAGCCGCATGTAAAGCTCTCCCACGCTGCGTAAGATGTGGGGGAGATCACAGAAACGATGAATGCCCACGAAACAACCCACAGCCATACTGCTCTAACTGCCAACAGCAACACACGGCAAACTATAAAGGATGCCTGAAATATAAAAATATCAAAGCACGAATAATTAATATTCAAAACAACACAAACACACAAGTACAAAGTCATGGAGTAAACAGTACACAAAGAAAAACACCATTGCTACAAACACCAGAACCTCAACAGAATACCAACACAAACAAACAATCTACCACATAAACATTTACACAGGCAGTAAAAACCTACACTCAAACTAAAGAAACCACAAACAAAAGAACACTAAACCCATTAATGCTAAAACAGAGGAATTAACAAACAAAATAACAGTGGCAGTCACAAAGATATTTTACAAATTTCTGGAAAAATATAATAACCCCCAAAACCAAGAGGATTGCATCACACTAATCAGGAAAATAGCGCTAGAACACCTACTACCAATTTTACCACAGATAGCACAATTACCTTTACTACCACAAACATCACAGAACACAAATACCAAGCAAACTTAAGGCTACACACATATACAACTTGAAAACATAAAACGGGCATGGCCCTGAAAAGGAAAGTGATAGTAGAATTCAATAAATCAAACCAAACCCCAAACCCAAGAAGATAGTAAAACATAATAACAGTACAGTAGGGAGGAAGAGGACCTGACCCCCCAGGTCGTAAAAGACCTAAATCCCGATCCGGAGAGAGAGTTAGTTTGTTTTGTTTTTGTTCTAACACCACATTGTGGCAGAATTGGAATTATACATTTCTGTCATTCTATTTATTTATATTATCTGCAAATAGACTTAAGCATTATTTTTCTTTGTTGGATACGGAATTTGATTATACCGATTTAAATTAATAGTAAAAACAATGATGATTTAAGAATTACAATAAATAGTTATGGGTATTTCTATCAGTGCTTGTACATTATAATGTGTTTCATTATGCTAATACGAAATACTTCGTTTCTGTGTTGCAGATAAGCAAAGCAGTTCTTCAAGACTCAAGATAGACTTGACCCGTCACCTTTTTCTTGGGTACCTGACCGTCGTAATTTTCTTGACATCAGAGAGTTTAGTATTTCTTCTGATCAACAGATGACGGGTGGATTTTCCATGTAATCATGTCTTTTGGACATGAACAAAGCCCCTGTGATCTCAAAGCTGTGCTTTGTGGTAGGGAAGACACGTGGATCCGAGCCAAATATAATATTTGTAGTTGTTTCTTGTTGTGGATATGTGTGGTTGCAAAATCTCTGCATATGTAATTTCTGCGTAAAAAAGTCAACAACGTTAACTTCTCAAGGAACAATTTTATCAGCAACAATGTCAAACTGTTTGAAGAGATCAAAAATATGTTTAACATTAATTCTTCAGCGATGATGTGGTGTTTATCACAATATCATAACGTTCAATTAATATCATATCATAGTGGTTAAATATAAATTGAAATTCGTCGCGCGGCGCAGAATGCTGTTTTTGAGTCAGATGTTGAACGAACTGTAGTCTTAAATAAAGAGCTAGTTTTTGTTACAAATTTTAGCAGTATTGTACCAAAATACAGCTACATTTGTTACACATTTTAGCAGTATTGTACCAAAATACAGCTATATTTGTCACAAAGTTTAGCAGTATTGTACCAAAATATAGCTACATTTGTTAAAATTTTAGCAGTATTGTACCAAAATATAGCTATGTTTGTTACAAAGTTTAGCAGTATTGTACCAAAATACAGCTATATTTGTTACACATTTTAGCAGTATTGTACCAAACTACAGCTACATTTGTTACAAAGTTTAGCAGTATTGTACCAAAATACAGCTACATTTGTTACACATTTTAGCAGTATTGTACCAAAATACAGCTACATTTGTTACAAATTTTAGCAGTATTGTACCAAAATGCAGCTACACTTTTGGAGGCTGTTTTGTTTGCGTTGGTGATGTTAGAATAAAAAAATTCCAATCCTTATTATTAGACTAGAAGTGTAGGATAGGCATCAAGATAGATATTTTATTCAAATTTACATCTCAAGGTTCATTGATGAGATGTAATCCTAATGATCTTCAAAGTTAGGACTGAAAATTGTATATTGTACGTATTAGTAAATGATGTGTAAGTCTTCAGTTCTTTAATGCTAAGAGAAATGTACATTTTTGTGACAGATGAATAAAATAGATTATTCGTTTTATGGTTCTGCAGTTAGATTTTTGTATAAATCCCTGCTATAATTTGTGCAACTATATAGAAAATAATAAAGGATGTTTGTGAATTATTATTGGCTTATGATGTTGGTTAGATGAAGATGAAATTTCATTATCTACAATGAGCGATGTTTCTACTGAAAATATTAACTTTTCTGGAAACATTTATTCTATTTTCTCTTTCTTACAGAGAAAACAATAATGCGTACATCATCAAATAAAATGTCATCTATACTGAAAACCACAAGTCTGACGAAGTATTGGTGATTTTTTTCCAAGATGATAAGCAAACGTAAATTTGACTTCCAAATAAAGAGTCGTTTATAATACATTTGAGAGCAACTTGCACAATTTCAGCTTTAAATAGCTGATAAAACAATATTAATGCTTTCCTTTCCTTGTTAGGTCTGCTGTAAGCTAGTGATTAATGCGCACAAACTGTGAATCCGAGAATTCAAGTTCATAACTCGTTCCCGCTAAAATTTGCTTCGCACTTTGGGGCACTCGGTGAGCTATAAGAATGACTGTCAAGTCACACTACACGGTCAAACGAGAATAGCTCAAGAGTTAGCGGTGAGTAAGTCTATCAGTTCGAAATTATGGCTATGAGCAGCTAGCCCCTTTGTATAGTTTGCACAAAAATTCTAATACGAACAAACAATTTTTACGCTTGTGGTTTTGTCAGTTCCAATGAAGGTCTATCGGCACAGAGACCAGAACGTCACCTCGATTATAGGCAGATATAGTTAAAGAAGTATCAAATTAAAGTGATTAGTTATAACTTTAAGACAAGTAGAATTAAAACAACAAAATTTTAAGCGCTTAAAGCTTTAAGAAATAGTTTTCTTTTTCCTAATGAAGCAATCTTAATAAAATAATTAATACTAAATATTTCCTAATCTATTGAGAAAAAAGATATTTGTAATGTAATATAAAAACTGTATGGTATTTGCCTAGTAAACCATAGGCATTCGTGCATATTATTACAGTTTCTATAAGTTTTTGATTTTATTAATCATTTCTCAATTATTCGTATTTTAGAAAGTCAGATAATTGTTTTTCTTTAATTCATCTTGAGCAGTTGAAACAAAATAGGTAGGTCACAAGACCAAATAGTCTCCTGGCGTGCAAGAAACAATTTCTGCAGGGACTGATCTATAAGAATAGTTTAAGATAGAGTCTACTCCTTCAAAATAAATAAATAGCATTTACTGTTTCTCAGCAATTATGTGAAATCAAATTGGCTAAGGAGTAGCAAATACCTTAACATGCTAAGCCGATAATATTTGTTTCAAAACTATTTACGTGTTTCGAAATGAAAAGATAGGCAGATGGACACGTATACGTCAACGAACAAACATTCTAGAAAGGTTGTTAATTTTGCTCATAGCTTCACAAGGACTATGAGTCCGTCGGGCTTGACATAGCCTGATGGTTAGGCATTCGACTTGCAATCTGCTCGCCTTTTACCCGTGAGGATGTTTTAATATGACAGTCAATCCTAATATTCATTGGTAAAGAGTAGCCCAAAAGTTGGCGGTGAGTGGTGTTGACTAGCTGCCTTCACTCTTGTCTATCACTTCACAATTAGGGACAGCTAACGCTGATAGCTCTATAGTAGCTTTGTGCAAAACTCAACAAATAAAGAATCATAGCTGATTCTACTAATCAGAGCTAATAAGACAAGAGGGAACTCAGTATGGATCCCAAGCGCTGTTGACTTATTGACTAAGCAAATGTTATTTAATGCCGTTCAATTTTGTTTTGTAATTGCAAACAATATATATTTGAATACCGAGAAAAATATTATTTAGACTTTATTCCTGATAGATGAGTTCTTCGCAAGTAAACAGGGGGAGGGTATATTCCATAATAGTTCCACCAGCCCTTTTCACCTGCTTTCATATTGGTAGTTATACATTCAATAAATACGCAGGTTGTATTTATAACAAAGCTACTAAAGCTATCTGCCATCGTTTCTAAATTTAAACTACTGACCAGAGGGTAGGCACCCCCCTACCACTCGTTATCCGCGCTCATGGATTGACTGTCATCCTTATAGCGAACACACAAATCCAACTCGCTAGTTCTGAACTCTAGAGTTCTACTACAGAAACAACCCACTTCTTGTTATACACACTACTATTTGGAGACTTTTAAAGAAATATTCAGTAATTTCCTTACAATATGATTTGCTTTTGTTTTCATAACTTAATTTAAAAATAACTTTTATTAACAGCCTTTAAATGAAACATCGTCTTCAAAAGCATGAAAAGGATCATTATAAGTTTTATTTTTCAGAAAACACTTTTCTACTAAATTTTCAATTGTACAACTACATAAAAAATTTTAAGTTTGTTAATATCAGTAAAATACAGTTTGTTTTTTGTTTACTGTTTCCACCGTCGTCTTGATACAACCCTAATCAGATAGTAATGTACATTGCAGACGCTTGCGTATATATCGATTGTTTTCGCCTGTAGGTCTAGGACTATCCGAGGACATTATAATGCGCTTGCTACATATCTTTATAGAAGTTTAGGTAAAATGTTTTTCTGACAAAAAATACTGTATAGTCGATATTTCTTAATAATGAATAATGTTTGCCATATTGAATCCATGAGTAACAAAGTAATCTGTCAATCGATACAACAGCATACACGTCTGTTCATCGAAATAGCACAAGCGTTTTTACAAAACCTATGCAATCAAAATCTATTAAAACTTTACGTACCGTCAATCCTATTCTACGAGGTGGAAACGAGGACCACATCTTTGAAATAAAACGACAATTGAAAACATTTTAAATATGGTTTTATAGATGAAAAATGAATATTAGGTCCCTTAAAAGAAAACTAATGAAGAATTATTGGAGTGTGCAACGACAATTGCTGGACATATGTAGGAAACGGAAGATGCACAATTTGATCCAAGGAAAGGCTGTAGAGATGCTGATGGGTAAATTCGAAGGAAGAAAAAAAAAAGGATAGGAAAGCGGAGATTATAGTCGAAATGGATTGAGGGTGAGAAGCTTGAATTAGGAAATCGTGTAATAGAAAACAATGGAGATCCTCAGATATCAGGAAAGTTGGTGCAGGCAGCGTGGAATAGAGAACTGTGAAGAACCTCAGATTTTGGGAGAACGCCACGATTGTAATCAAAGTAACTGCTGGTTCTCCTTCAGAGTTAAAACAATTTAATCTTAGTACTTTATTTATTTAATGAATATTAAATATTCCGAGCTTCTTACATAAATTTAGGCTTTCCAATCATAAATTATTATTATAATTGCGGTAAAAGGTTTTATACATAACAGATTATTTCCTTTTAGTGTCAAATATGTCCTTTTTAAAACTAACTGTATTTATAATATAGAACATACAAAGAATATTTCTGTCCAACTAATTTGTAGTTTTGGATAACACAAGGCGATGTATCATAACACATAGCTTATACAATACAGGATTATGACTTATCACTGTTAAACAACCTTCTATCAGTGTTATTGTTATGATTGATTTATACATTTTCAGAATAACTAAGAATTGGTTTCAGTACCGCTTGGTATATGAAAACTTCTCTACTTTCAAAACATGACCAAGATTAAAATAATAAATAACACAAAACGCTAAAATATGTACACAATTAAAAAACCTGTTAATTAAGATCATTCTATGACCACTAAACAGTTGACTCTACACGTTTCAATGTTGCAACGTCATCTTTAGGAGTTAGTTGACAGACATGAGTGTGTTTATTTATACTTTTTTGTTGTTATTAAATACCTCATGTGACCCGTGTACAGGTTTACGACCCCCCACGTGAACTTTTTAGAGAAGGTCACACCATATTTTTGTATAAATATTCGTCGGACCTTCATCTCTATTTAATAATACATGATCTTTTTTTATATTTAATTATTTTCAAAGATTCAAGAATATTATTGGCTATAATACCTTTGGTTGAGCCATTATTACATTTTTTCTCCTATTGGCTCAACTAAAAGGTTTTATAGCCAATAATATTAGTGAATCCTAGCGAATAATTAAATATAAAAAAAGATCATGTGTTATTAAATAGAAATGAAGGTCCGGCGAACATTTATGCAAAAATGTGGGGTGACCTTCTTCTAAAAAGTTCACGCGGGAATTGTAAATCTGTACATAGATCACACGACCTATTTAAAATATAAATACGTAGAAATAAAACACGATTATGTCTTGTAACTTATCCCTGCAACGTAGAAATATGTAAAGTGAGCTTTTCAGAGGACATTGACCTTAATTACTTTTTTTTTATTGTGTCCCTATTTTAACGTTGTTTCTTATTTATTATTTTAACATTATACACAGGTAGTGCCAATAAATACTACTCATGACCAGGCTTTTCAAGTTTCACTTTTCTGAAACGTGTATATACACATGCACACATATATTTGTATATATTATGAAGAAATTTCGTTTGTTTGTTTTAGAGCAAAGCCACATCGAGCTATCTGCTGTGTCAACTGCAGAGAATCGCACCCCGAAAATTATTTATTTATTGCTGTTCCCCTGGGGAACAATGAAAAACCAATACATCCACAGGTGACAAAATAAATAAATTGGACTGTTTAAGATAAATCATTTTAATTGAATACATTAGTTTAATTTTTTTTACTTCCTTGATGGCGACGCTTCGAACAAACGCTAATTTTCACGCCAGAAATAAGCCTGTTGGTTAGTTATAAATTACTACACATATGTGTGCGTGTGTGACGCCTTTCAAGCTTTTCTTATATAGACATGACTTAGATCTACTTTTATTTTCCTACAAACATATTTCCATTCTTAACAATACTCTTGTTTCATAATTTTTATTGTATTTATGCTTACTTTTCAACTCTGTCAATGAAACAAGAATCAATCTCTTGTTTCACAATACTTAAATGACATTGTTCAGTTTATCCTATGGAAGGAAACATGCCCACGCTTTTACTC